GCTGGGCACCACTGGAAAGAGTCTGGCCCCGTCCTCCTGACCCCCACCCTGCAGATATTTGGAGGCATTTACAAGGTCCCCTCTCAGCCTTCCCTTCTCCAGGCTGAACAAGCCCAGCTCCCTCAGCCTCTCCTCGTAGGACAGATGCTCCAGTCCCCTCACCATCCTCGTAGCCCTGTGCTGGACTCTCTCCAGTAGCTCCTCACCTGTCTTGAACTGGGGAGCCCAGAACTGGACACAGGACTCCAGATGAGGCCTCACCAGGGCAGAGCAGAGGGGAAGGAGAACCTCATTCCACCTGCTAGCCACACTCCTCCTAATGACACCTACTGTCAATGCTCCCACCAAGCCTCCCAGGAAAACTAATTATGAATGCAACCCTCAATTCAAGAACGAATTCCCAAACAGACAATGACTCCGCTGAATTTACACCCAGTCTTTGAAGGAGCCTACACGTTTCCAGTCTCGTTGGTCAATAACCAGCTAAAATGCCAGTGTTAAGCTAAGACATTTCATGACTAAAATAATTTTCGAGATGAATACTTCTTTCCAATGAGCTGAACTGCTGCTATAAGACATCTCTGGAAATGTCTGTCACAACAGAGAGACTGGGTGACCCTGCTTCAGCAGGGGTTGGGCTGGGTGACCCACAGAGGTCCCTTCCAAACCCTGCCAGTCTGTGATTGATTCTGTAACAGGTGAAAGTGGGCTGGTGAACAACTCCTGCTCTCAGCAGAACCCATCCCAGACCCTGGCCTAGCCCTGTGGCAGCAGGTGTTGGGCCAGGTTGTGACCTCAGTCACGGTGGTGCAGCCACCCAAGCTGCCGTGCCAAGGTGAACGCTCTCCTGGTTCCCACGGAATTATTCCAGGTTCACACAAACGCAGCAGAGACGAGACTCGGTATAGTGAGTGAATGGCAGGTGGCATGGCCAAAACGCAGCAGGCCATGCAAAAACGCTTCTAGAGACTATCAGGACACACTAGGCACATCGCGGTTTTAAAAAAAAAAATTTAAAAAAAATACTACTTCCATTTTTCTTTGCAGAGTACAGGTTAATAAGAGAAAAAAAGGGATAAAACGCTACAAAATTCCCAAAATATGAAACTCCCTAATTACTAAGCATTATGTACAAAAGCATTGCTTCGTAATCTCATGTCATGGGTTATCACAACTGACTTTTACGAGCGGTTTTTTAAAGCATAAGAATCTGTCCTTCCACAGCTGAAGCGTTCTTGCAGATGGACACTAACGCCTCACGAATCTCGCGCTTTAATATGCGTGACACGGCTTCATTTCGCACATGTTCTGCATGGGTTGACTGCCATGTATGCCAATATCAAACAGATGTTAATTCTTTAATTTTTATGCTCCCAAAGTATGTTTTAATTACCTAGGAGGCCTGGCAAAGAGAAGGAGGGAGGTATTTTGAAGCGGATTTAATGGGAAATCTAAACTAAAAATCCACCAGAAAAATAGTTTTTAAAATTCATCTTATCAACAACATGAATTTTAATATTCATAAGAACACATGACGTGCAAAGGAACTGCAGGCTGCTCTCATTAAACGGCACATTCCTTTTAGTAAACAAGAAAAGAATTTCTCATTATTTTTCTAATAAAACCCCACGGCTTTAAAAGCCCTGCAAACTAAACACGAGCTTTGTCACACGAAACGCTTCTGCAGGCCACCTGGACGGCACGCTCATTTTGTGTCTAAATCCTTAAATTTGGGTATTTTGCAAAGAGATTGGATCTCGATGTAAAACATGGCTCTACAGATTCTCACCCCTACAGCGCTGCGCGTCTCATTTTCTGGATCATCTTGATAAAAATGTCCTGAAATGTAAGATATTTCACAAGCCTCCACCGTACAGAAGCCAGAAATGGAAAAGAGGTCCCAGGCCAGGAGGCTGCTGCCAGCTCCCGCTTTCGGCTGCGCCCGGAGGGGCCCAAAAACCCCGGTGGGAGGGGAGAGCATCGGCTGGCAGCCGGGACCCTCCCGGCTCGGATGGAGCCCAGTTGTCCCACGGGAGCTGGAGCAGGTCCCTCGGCTTTGGACCCCATCCCACCGAAACCAACAGCAACGGCTCCCGGGAATTTCGCACTGCCATTAGCTTTAGCCAGCTGCAACAGCCTCCAGGGTGAAAATTACAATTACCAAAACTGCTACGAATAATAACAGTAGCAGCAACAGCGTTACATTCCATACATAAATATTTCTGTTGGACAGTATCGATAGCAGATAAACAATAACAGTAGATAAAACATTCTCAAACCCAAGATCTCCCGCCCCTCCCCATACCACCGAGCTCTTTTTGCACAGTAACGCTTCCAACGCCAAACAAATCATTTCAATTTCTTGCTCTCACACAACTTTCAAATGAAAATGTGAGCTGACATCTTGAAAAATAACTGACAGTTATTTCACAAGAGTGCAGCCACCTCTGTCCTCCGGTATTCCCTTTTTTTTTTTCCCTCCCCCAACTGCTCAGATCCATGCAAGGTGCCCAGAAACAAACTGCTAATTGCCAAAGGAGTCAAAAACACAACATTCCCTTGGAATTTACTGGGACGGGGAACGAATCCAGACTGTGGATCTGACACCCACCACGCAAAACGCTTGTGCAGACCTCTGCAAACACGCACTCATCGCACTGCAGGGAAGCAAGGCTGCATTCCTCACTGAACCAAAATCCCCCGCCTGGAAGAACAGCTTTCGGTGTTATTTTTGTTCCCATTCCGGTTTACTACGTTCAATCACCAGATTTTTTTTTTTTTTTCCCCTTTTTACTTCAGATAAATGTGTGAGAAAGTGTCTCCCCTCTATTCATAGACGTTATCTTCCTCAAACTTCAGATGATTCAGCTGGGTGAATATAGAGTTATAAATAATTTATCAAGACACATACCAGTTGTTGGGGGGGAAAAAAAAAACGCAGAAGGAAGAATATCACTGCATAAAATCCGAACGTTAAACCTGATTTTTTCCAAGTCAATCTTTAACTGTTTTTATTACCTCCTAATCCAGGTCTGAGGCGATTATCGTAGCCATCCAGCAGCCTGTCTAGAATTCTTGTAAAGATGGTGATGTTATTCTTAGCTTCGTCTTCCAGGGAGTCAGCCAGCACCGACCTAAATGGACATTTCACATTTTAGAAAGTGCTAAATAGGTTTCAACGCACGCTCAAGACGCAGTTTGTGCAGGCTGGCCTTGACTGGTTAGCTTGCTGCCCTCTAACTGGGAGGGTGTAGAGTATGTGAGTGCACTGTATATTATACATACATATATATATATATAAAACATGTCCAGAAACATGACAGTTGACGATACACTATTTAAAATCTCCAGGGAGTCATTTTCCGGCAGCTCCTCCATCCCTTTTCTGGCAGCTCCTCCATTCCTTTTCCCGCAGAATCCAGCCCACGCTGCGTCACCCCAACTTTGAGCCACGCGAGGTGCCACGGCCCAAGAGAGCCTCACCCCCGGAGCGACGCCCCCCGGGCTCCCCACGCAGAGCTGGCTCCTTCCAGCTCCGTCCCACCTCCGGATAAATCCTGTGGATCTGCTTCCACCCAATGGTCATGAGATGCACATGAGCAGCGGGGAACGGGGGGAAAGCTCCAGCGATCATGCTCGGGGAGTCCTCTGATGTCAGCGGGCGGTGGGTGGGAACAGCCGTGCTGACTAGCAAGGCTGCGGGATCGACTTTGCGTCTCTGAAACGCTATTTTGTTAGAAAAAGCACTATCTGATGTCCCACCAGACGCAGAAAAACCTTATAAAAGTTGGGCAGGATCAAAATCATACGTGAAGGGTCAAGAAGAGCCTATAGATTGTCCCCCCTGATGAATAAAGAGGTATGAGAGCCCGTATGGGTCCCACCTCCACGGGGAACGCTTTGGGGCTGGCACACCAACCTGCTGCGGTGCTGAGCAGGGCGTCCGGACCGGGATGCCCGGCCCGAGGGGTCTGCGTGCTGGGGAAACCCCCCCTCCCCGGGCACCCAGGCAGATGTCACCGTGCCAGCAGTTTGCAGCAGTACGTGTGAAACGCGGCAGCTCATGGGTCTCACCTGCCCAGCACCCAAATATCAGCACCCAGGAAGCCAAGCACCACGCGCTATGCACAATTCCATCCACGCCTCTTCCAGCCACCTACGTTTTTAACACGAAATCTCGGAGTATTTATCATATCTAACCGAGCTACCGATCAAGGCATGCTGAACGCTGTGAAAAAAGCACGTTCTCCTCCTCCTCCTCCAAACCCAAAGCAGGTTTGGGTGGCGTTTTCTCTAAAGCCAGCTACGAAGCGACGAAACGCCGGGCTTCGGCGCCCGGTTCGGCAGCAGGGAGGAAGCTTTTGCATGTAAATCATTGCAGTCGGCCCCCTCCATCACGCCAGCCACGGCGCCGACCCAGATCGGATCCCTTCTAAAGCAGACACCAACACGTCGCGCGTGGTTTTACTGACCTGCGAGATTTTTCTCGATTTTCATTACTGGATGGCCCATTTTTCATTTTTACACTGTATTTCTGTACTGTAAGTCCCGGCCATTTTTGAAGCTTCTTTCCAAAATACAACAGTTTTTCGAACTCGACGCGAGCAGAAAATTAGATCACACAACTACATCAAACGAGGGTCGGACCCCACCAACTCTACTCGGGCATCAACTCCCTCGCCCCACACAGAACCTTTCTGACGTTGGTGGGATTACTCGCTCGAGTCGGGTTTGCAGGATCTGGCCCGCTGTGACTCAACTAACGCTGCACCACAGCATCAAGTGACACGGGAAGCACAGTTCCAGGGAATATTTTGTTCGCTAGGAAACGGATATAAATGCAGCCTCGTTAAATCACAGGAAATTCGCATTATTTAGCTTGCTGCCCTGACCAGATTAGGGCGAGATCGACCGCAGTCGGAAGCAAAGCAAGTAAAAGCAAAGTAGCAAACTAGAATTAGTGGCGTGTTTTGGGGGCTGTGGGCAACGCCAAATGATTACGTGATTAAAATCGCTTTCTCTCGTGTTGGCCCTTTAGAAATGGAGAACTTTAAGCAAGGTAGGAAAAGTTGATGGCTGAAGGAGGCTATTGTTTTAGCGGACGTGGTTGGGAAGTTGTATGCTATCTCCACCTAGAGGTTCGCAGCTCAAGCATCATTCTGAATTCTGTTGATCAAAAAAGAAGACCAAGGGAAAAAAATAAAAGGCATGCCCGTATTAAAAAAAAATACGCGAGCGTTATTCCAGGGACCGTGGTTCGCTATTTGGCTCCGCGATAACCTGCTTCTCCATCTTCACCAGGCTGCACGGTCCGGCAGCACAGCGACAGAGTGACTCAAATCTTTAAGATCCAGCGAGGCGTTTAAAGAAATTATTATTATTATTTTTTTTTAAATGGTGAAATAAATGATCAATTCGCTGGACGTTTAGGGACAAGAGCTGAGGCTCAGCGGTCCCCGGACCACCCCCTGCTGCGATGCTGCACCCCAGCAGCCAAAAAAAACGGGGTTTTCTTCCCCGACCGCACGCTGGGC